CACACACACACACATATATATATATATATAAAACGCTGAAAGTAAATGGCATTCTTTGGAAAATACGTTTTTTTTCTCTATTTAAAAACTGAAAATGTGCACAAGTCTCTTGATAGGTTCGGCACGGTTGTCAGCCAACTTCATCTCAAAATATTGTCTGATTTATATATAAATAAAACGTTATAAAAAATAAAATAAAATTTCCAAAAAATGCTTTTCTAATACATGCTATTTTTAGGTGGATTCAACACAAAGTGATGCCCATTGTACTTGCAGTATAACAATGCTCACATTACAAGCATAGACACAAGAGTTATTGACAAGCAGTTAGTCAAGATTCTAAAAAGGCAAAGTCTGTGATTTAAGTAAAAAAAAAAAAAAAGTATATTTAACAGTGGTGATGAAGGAAGATTAGCAGCACACGTTCATCTACTCAGGAATAACACAAACAGAACTTCAAGCTTTGCTTGCTGTATGCTCCTACTATTCACTATTCTTTAGATGTGATGTTGCCATAGCAACCTCAACTCAGTGACCTCATTCTTTCAGCTCTGAAATTATGGGCTGCCCAGCCTGATAACAGGCAAAGAAAAAACAGCGATAGAGAAAGAATATTTTTTCCTAGTTTCTCTTGCTGTTGCTGCAATACAATGACATACTATAATTTCTGAAATTCTGAAGTAATCTTTTCATTATAAATCAACCACAAATTTCATGAATGAGTTAATGAATTAATACAAAGGCAAGCAGTGCATTAGAATTGAGCTATTCAATGTCTAACCGACCACCAGAACAGCCAGGCACAAGAACAGTTTTTTCCCACAGGCTATATTCAGCCTGAACAATTAAAACTTAATACATCGTTCATCACAACTGACATTTATATACACAGAATCCAACATCTGTACACTTGTAAACTGCACACTTTGTAAATAATATATTTGCACACTTATAACATATCTGTACATTTATTTAAACAATTGAATTTTTTATTTTTCTGTATATAGTACATTATTTAATTTCAGTTTTTTTCTTATATTAGTGTTATATTCCATCCCCACTGTGTTATTCCTATGTATGTCTGCACTATGTCTGTACTTTCTTCTGCACTGGAAGCTCCTGTCGTCAAGTCAAAATCCTTGTGTGTGTGTGTAAACATACTTGGTAAGAAAGCTCTTCTGATTCTGATGCAAAATGTACAGCAGCAAAGAAATATTACAAATAAGCAAATAAATGAATGAATGAACTCATATATGAAGAATGGCTTATGTAAAATCAGAATGGGAGGCCACATAACTTCCTTTACTGACCTTTGACTAAAATACAGGGGAAATGTATGAGATTTTACATTTATTATTGACCTTGTGATTCAAAGAATATTTCCAAATACTATTACAATAATGGCACGTGTTTATTACTTCGCTTAGGTCATCATAACTACTATTGATTCCTATAAAAAAAAAAATTATGTCATGCCTGATAACAGATACATTGATCAATTCAAACATCATAATGCACAGTAGAACAATTAATAAATCTTTAATTCGTAATTCTTTAAAACATGCTGTTGTATTCTCACCTTCCAATATTTGCAGATACCAATGTTGAGTGTCTTCAAAATTAATTTCACAACTAATTAATGGTGTCTTATAGAGAAACTCAGATGATGACGATGATTACGATGATTAAAATTAACCAAAAAGAAAACAAAATATTAGCTAAAAATGAAACCCTGAAACAACAAAACTATAAATATAATGATGATACAGAGTTATACAAGTCATCTGCGGCATAAATAAAATTAATAATTCATTACGTAATACAACTGACACACCAAAATTATGTGATTTAAGCCAAGAAGAAATATATCCGCTGTTATATGCAGATAGGAGGTTCAAAACAGGCTGATCAATGGTTTCAGCTCAGGCTTGATGTAAATGTTTTCTTGGCACTGACTCTATCGACCCCTTAATACCACCTAGCATCATTTGAATACTGTTTCTGATTGTGTACAGCCATTTATGGCCAGAGTCTGCTTGCTTTCAGATGCACACATCCAGCAGATCCACAAGCAAACATCATCTGACATTCACTCCAGTGCACAGTGTCTTCAGATCTTAATCTAGAAGGACTGAATGAGGTAGAATGGGAGGTTTTGTGCAGGCCTACAGAAGGTGCACAAAATCCAGCAACAAACAAAACCTGCTCATGAATGTTGCGAAAGGGTTCTTAGTTGTTGCATCATGTGGAATCTCATTATATTAATAAACCTTGAAAAAGCTCACTGGTGCACTTGTGTAACATTTTTATACTGTATCGCAATGCACTATATAATCATTAGTTTATTTACCTTTACAGGAATGAAAATGAAAAAACTGATTAACATACACTTGCACTCGTGTTGTTATGAATTCTGTGGAACACAGGATATTTTTTTAAATTTTGTCCATACAATGACAGTGGATAAATGTGAAATTAATATTACAATCCGTCAAGCTCCTAAAACAACATAAACAAAATCTATTAATAAATCTATTACACTGCTCCGGGTGAAAACTCTTTGCAATTTTTCTCTGAGAAACTGAAATTTTTCTGATATTGCTCCACTATTTTTCGCCGCAGCATTGGGGGCATTGGTGATCCTCTGCCCATCTTGACTTCTGAGAGACACTGCTACTCTGAGAGGCTCTTTTTATACCCAATCATGTTGCCAATTGACCTAATAAGTTGCAAATTGGTCCTCTAACTGTTCCTTATATGTATATTTAACTTTTCCGGCCTCTTATTGCTACCTGTCCCAACTTTTTTGGAATGTGTATCTCTCATGAAATCCAAAATGAGCCAATATTTGGCATGACATTTCAAAATGTCTCACTTTCAACATTTGATATGTTATCTATATTCTATTGTGAATAAAATATACGTTTATGAGATTTGTAAATTATTCCATTCCTTTTTTACTCACAATTTGTACAGTGTCCCAACTTTTTTGGAATTGGGTTTGTAATTAAACTACAGTACAATCCATTGAACACGCTGTAATTCTATCTCTCATAGCCTTGCTTTCATTCCTGTGAAATATTAAATATCTGCTTACTTTTGAATCAGTTTGTCTTTAGGTTTCCACTTTATTTTTTGTTACAATAAATTATTTTTATTTGCAAAAATGTTATTATTTTTGAATTTATGCTCATTCCTTATGCAAACGTTAATTTACACAATTTAAAATGCTAATTTGGATTAATATATGCAGAATTGATCATTAACGTAGATTAATACATGGTATAATTGTTACTTCATGATACCTAATACATTAATTCATAATTGTTAAATATTACTGAACCTTTAAATGTCACCATAATGTTTAAAAAAAATCAATAATTAGGCCATGTCCACACGTACACGGGTATCTCCGTCCACATGAAAACGCAAACGCATGCTATGAAGCACTGTCAAGAGCATGCCAAACCAACAGGTGGAGATATAATCTCAACCGTAAAGCCATGTTGGCCAATCAGAAGCCTGAAAAAGTCTCCAGTAGGCGGAGATAACAGCACAGGCGCCGACGTCACAAGCCAAAAACTCTGGCTTCGCTGTCTACACGATAACACTGCAACCAGAGTTTTTGAAAATCTTCACCCTGGCAGGAGTTTTCAAAAATGTTCGGTTTCAGTGACCTGGTGCGCAGCCAAACCGCCTAGAAAAAGATGCGGTTTTAAAAATAACCGCTTCGTGTGGACAGGGCCTAAGTAAACTATAATAAAATGGTAAATTATATTTTGTACTGCAAAAGGTAACTGCGTTTACCCTTGACTAGCACTCTTGTTCTGGTGTGTCTCTAATTTGTGACACCAAATATGAATATGCATATTCATATGCAACATTTGAGAGTTAAAGCAGAGGGGATTTTCACTGAATAACATACACTTGAGTCTTTTCTAGACATAGCTATCATATGGCTTTAAGTAACCAGCAATTCACATTCAGTACTTTCATTTTGATTTTTATTTATGCATTTGTGGTACTTTGTGCTTTTTATCATTTTTGAAGCTTATAATCCCTAGATCACCATTTGCTTTTAATAGAAAAGAGCAGCATGAGCATTTCATTAAATCTCTTTTTTGTGCTCCGTAAAATACAGTAATATGGGTTCGAAACAGCATGACAGTGTGTAAATGATAGAATTTTCCACTTTTGGACACCAATTAGGACATCTTGACTTTCCAGGCAGCAAACAGCACTCATCTGGATGTTTAGACCACAATAAATTCTTTCCTGAAATAGCATTCTCAAGTGTTCTCAAGATACATTATGCAAGGTAACAAGGCGGCAGCATCTCTGTAAATCTAATTTGTGTCAAGGTTTCTCCCTAGACAACATTTGTGATGTGGTTTTGTTTCAATCTTATTAGATAGGAGAGAATGTGATAAGTTTTGAAAATGTCAAAATTATAAAAAGTGTTTACCAATTATTATTTTCTATGGTTGCCATTTAAAAATTAATTTTCATAATTTCTGAAAATAAACTCATTATGAGTTTAATGGGTAATTGATTTTTTTACATCAAGTGCATCTCTTTTGTAGTAGCTCAGGAACCCATTATAATTTTTCCATTTCATCTAAATTACTGGAAATTAAACACTCGTTTCATGAACCATTTATTCTTGTACTTTGTTGCAATAAAAGTCAGTTTATAAAGAGAAAAAAGGCAATACTTTAGTACCTCTAAATAAATACCTGATCCTCACAAAAAAAAAAAAAGAGAAGAAAAAAATATGTATTACTTCGTAAAAGCACTTTTTCAATGCTGACTCACTATTCTCGTCTGATCATAACATTATTACTTTTTTTTTTTTTTTGACTGTGTGGACCCAAAGGAGAACCTGTAATTAAATTGATCATCAGCGACCCCCTACGGTGAGAAGCAGACTGTGACTGTAACAAGGATATTTGACTGCAAGGAAAAAAGAAGCTAAAGGAATCAGAATAAAAGTTGAATTGCTATTTTTACCATCACATTTACAAAACATAATCTTTGACATTTTTATGCAATTATCCAATTTTCAATAACTACAACTTACAGTACTTTGGTGTTTACATGTAAACAAAAAGGCAATATGATAAAAAGCCTCACTAATGCAGAGACAGTAGTGGATTATTGGCTTGGCTTAAAGGAGTTTGGTGATCATCAAATTAATCATAACACCGGAGTAGTCTCCGTTTTTCTGTCTGCAGTAACCAACTGCATCAGAGTACCTGAAGGAGGTCTATTCTCTCCTGTTGTCCACTTATAGAACAGCCTAGAATGTAGAAAACACTTCATGGTTTTGTTCACACACACACACACACACACACACACGTTCTTCTTTTATTTGGATCCACAAGACAAGCAAGAAAAACGGAATCCAAATACTTTGGAAAGTCAGTTTGCAAGATGACAGGTATACATAGCTAACATACATTCACAAGTCCTTATATTTAGAACATTTTGTAGAAAACACTTCATGGTTTTGTTCACACACACACACACACACACACACACGTTCTTCTTTTATTTGGATCCACAAGACAAGCAAGAAAAACGGAATCCAAATACTTTGGAAAGTCAGTTTGCAAGATGACAGGTATACATAGCTAACATACATTCACAAGTCCTTATATTTAGAACATTTAACACTCAAGGATAGACAAAACATCTTCGTTTCCATATTTGCATACTCCCTATAATGGCTGAAACTGAACAGAATTTTGCAAGTCTTTTTGCTTTCTTTTTTGCAATCCACCCAACTGTAGTCCTTTAATCACATTCTTGTGCACATGACCTAAACTTCCAAACACTAAGGTAATTAACTTACAATGATAGTCAAGTTGATGGATAGCTTCAACCAATGGCTGATATTTCAGCAGTTTGGAAAACACACACACACACACACGTTAACCTATACAACCTCTAAAACACATACTACAGATGTTCCCAAACACGCGTACTTACTCTGTTATGTACTCGAGTGCTGTCCAGGAACTGACATCACCATCTGGCATGAATTTTCTATTCATGGGTGTATCTAAAGTCACTCTAAAAGTAGTAATTATTAGTTGTCATTTAAAACAAAAAGATTTGCATGAATGAAAATCAGCTATTATATCGTTATTCCTTACGGAAGTATTGCTACTGCAGCAGATCCTATTCGGCCCACTCAGACTCTGACACAACTGATGTACTGCTGTCTTTGGCATACCATAACTAATGCATCCTACAGTGACAATGACAGAGAACATATAGATTTATGTATATTTTTCACAGTGGTGTGAAAAAGTGTTGGCCCCCTTCCTGATTTCTTATTTTTTTGCATGTTTGTCACTTTAATATTTCAGATCATCAAACTAATTTAAATATTAGTCAAAGATAACACAAGTGAACACAACATGCAGTTTTTAAATGAAGGTTTTTATTATTAAGGGAAAAC